ACACTTTACGACGTTCTAACAGGTCCCGATTTTCCCGCCTTTGGGGTCATTGACCTGACCTGCAAGGTCAACCAATGACCTAGGACCTTAAAATTGGGTATCATCGGCTTCCTCTCGTCACGGGCAACACGCTCGTTTTTTCCGCGAAGCTCTAGCTTGATCAGGGGCGAAACGGCAAGGGGGGGGGGGTCCAACGGACCCCCCCTTATACGTTCGCGGCTGGAAAAACACCAATACGGGCGAGGGTTAATGTACCAGCATTGGGATAGACAGTAGTTTAGAAATGCTGCTCCGAGACGGTTAAGAAGTACTCTGTTCGAATTTCATATGTAAATGTATCAAATGTGGTAATGTTTGTAGCGCGGGTTCAGAAATAAAGTTGCTGAAACTAGACAACTAATAGCGGCCTAGCAACTAATTAACTTCCAGCACACTCAATCACTATATGCGGCACAGATGTTCTTGTTGTGTTTCATTAAAAACACACTTTTTCAAACATCTGAAAAGCAAAGAGTTCAAGATAAAACGCATTCCAAACGTGACATTGTTCAATGTAGTAGCCAACACAACACTCCCCAATTTGACCTTCAATTTCACCCAGACCAGTTTGGTCCACAGTTTGACCGATCCGTTCCTCTCAACAGGGAGCCGAGAGGAAAACACGAGACGAGGAGCGACGCGCCTCTAAACGGAAGATGACGGCCACCGGTCGGAAAAAGATGGAAGAAATGTATCACGGCTCGTGCGAGCGCTCAGAGTTTTACTCCATGGCCGATACCACCAAACCGCCGACACTCTTCCAGCCAAGTGATGACCCGGAGAAGGTGAGGAGAGAGGGAGGGAGAGAGAGAGAGGGGGAGGGAGAGAGAGAGGGAGTGAGGGAGGGAGGGAGAGATGGAAATGGACAATAGAAGTTGACGAAACACGGGGGATGAAAGGAAAGTAATATCAATGGTAAGTTCCATACTGGTGGTAAGGCTAGTTTACCATGGATGAGACAGACGTAAGAACCGTTGTTGCTGCATTCTCCTATCTCCAAACTAGCAAAATCTACCGCCAAGTCGAGAGGAACCTGGTGCTGCCTTTATAACCACAGTCGCAGTCTCCACTCCACGCCTGGTGCTAGGCTTATAGCCATCGCTGCAGTCCCCAATGCCGGCGGGCGGCGGCGAACCGTAAATGCCTGGAGCGGTATACTGTGCCGCATGACACGCTTCCAAAAGTGGTGCTAGTCTGGGGTGCAGCGATACAGTCTCCCTGGGGAGCGAAACGTTTGATGTTATGTTCTTATGCATTTTTGCAGTCTCGGGACACCTGGGATTTTTTTTCATCTAGCCCAAATGCTGGATCCTGCTAGCAATCTCATTTACGTAATACATATTGAAACTTTGTGACGTGTTCATGAGAATCCTTGCAAAACAATGGGTCGGGGTACTGCAACGGTTTTCCCTTTCATTGCAATTGCACACCTACAAAATACAAATGAAACGGCTCAAAACATTGATCTTACAATTGATAATGTCCCGTATGTTCTCAGATCGGCAACATGGAGCTGCAGAACTACTACGCTCAGCAGGAGGGTGAAGGAAGCCTGTAAGTTGTCGCCTGCCCCGCTGCCTGTCGGCAGACCTGTAAACTAATCATTCTTCTGCGCTCTGTCTCTTTCCGCGCTGCACTGTTATGCTGTCCATGCTCGTTGCTCATCAAGCTTTCAGCATTGTAAGCCTTGCCTGCTTGCTAAAAAAAATAGTTTTTACCGTCAATACTTGTAAGCTCAGGCATGTTTGCTTTGATAAACTGTCATCTAGCAGTTAGCACTGTCTAATGCCGAGCAGAATATTAGTGATGTACAGGGATTCTGATATCGTTTAATGAATTCAAAGCAGGTTTCATTTTTTCTCCTAAACATCCTATGTCATTCCATTTTCATACAGCTCAAAACTGCAGCATTCTAATAAGAAAAGTCAAGTAACTTTCCAAACATTTCATACTCAAGAGCTTTTCTGTGTCACGAGCGAGCTTGCACCGCGCTGTGCCATGCCGAGCAGGCCACCCAGGGAGGCCGTTGCAAATAGGCGAGCCCCCGAGCTTGCAATGCTACCACCCTCGCTCCCGTCCCCATAGCGTCACCATATCCGATGATGTTTTACCCCCTCCCCCACCCCCGAGCGCCGAGCTTTGCATGAGCGGCTGCCAGCGCACGTCGCGCCGCTTGGCATGTCACGTGACTAACTGGCTGTGTCACGTGACTAACGTCCGTCTGGCTGTGCCGCCTCACCAGGTGTGCTGACGCGGTGGGCTCGCCCGCGCCGCCGCCGCCGCCACCGCCGCCGCCTCCGCCGCCCCCCGCCGCCCCCGCTACCCTCAAGTTTCACTACAGCTTCCCGACGCTCCCCGCTGAAGCAGCAGACGGGTGAGTTGACCCGCGCCGCTGCCTGACACTGCCCCGCTGACGCCCCTGTGGCTGTCGTGCTACCGCCTGCGCCTCTGCATTTGCACGTGCCGCTGCTAAGCGCCGAGCGCGACCCGCTTGACGCTCGCGGCAAAGCCATGCGCTATCTGGATGCTAATAGTGCACGATTTGGCGACGCTTGCAATGAATACGGTCCTCAAATGCTCGCACGGAAGATAAATTGTCAACCGCTTGCAACAGTCGCGCTGAAAGCATTGCGCTGCATCGCCGCGGCTGCATCGGGAAGGGTCCACAGTGAATGCTCGATGAGGACAGATATGTGGTGTGTTTTGCATATAGCTGCAGTCTGGCAGGGAGGGAGGGGTGCCTTTACTTGACCCCGCCTGTACTTTCCCCTACTATGTAATTCGTATGTTTTGGCGTCCCCTTCACATGTCACTTAATTCTGTCGATGTTTGCAGGGATAGAAAGAGCGAGGATGGCCTATTTTCTCCGGGGGCGAAGAGGGCACGCCTCTCGCCACCACTCAGCCAGCGGGTGATGCTGTATGTGCGTCAGGAGCGGGAGGAGCTCTACACACCGCTGCATGTGGTGCCACCTACAACTATCGGACTCCTGCACGCGGTGAGTACGGCTATAGATGTCAGGGGTTTAGGTGATTGTGAATGTGATTATGAGCTACGAAATGACCGACAGCAGGCCACTTCGCTTTTGCTTATGAAATTAGAGCGTTTCCACACCTCGAATGACGTGCACTTCTTTATCTTCCAGATTGAGAGCAAGTACAAAATCAGTGCCTCCTGCGCTCAAACACTCTGTCGGAAGAACAAGAAGGGGTAAGTGGCTCACCATTCCTCATCATACGCCTTGTTGAATAGGCATGGTTATTGCATATCGTTGACAATGGATGACCCCATGTAGGTACCACAACCTTGACTGTTCTTCGTCATGCTTCAATCTGAATCAACTCATCACCGTATTCCTGTGTTGCAGAGTGGTAGCGACGATGGATGATGACATGATCGCGCACTACTGCAACGAGGACACCTTCCTTCTGGAGATCAGACAGGCGGAGCAGGAGGGCGCCTTCGACATTACACTCATCGAAGTCGGGGACTAAGCGAATCTCTACTTCTCATGCCGGCCGATAGGTGGTGCGGCGGTCGCGCCCGTTTTCGGCGGCGCTGCCACTTGCATGTGTGTTAGTTTGTTGTTGCTTGTAGCGGTGGAGATGTGGATTTTGTATGTTGACGTGAACATTGTGATATTTCATTGTGTTATGCGCGTGGGACGGCGAGTTTGATTTGCTGACTGCGTGAGGTCAGGGCGAGTGTGTATTCCTGACCTTTTTTGATATTGTACACAGCTGATATGGATAAGATGCTGCGTCGCACGACGCTAGGATCTCGAATTCGTGCCAGAGCTGGACAGAGCACACGCGATGTTTTATCACTGACGCGTCTGGCGGCTCGCTCTGGTGTGAGGTGATTCGCCAGTCCGGCGCGTGCCGCGTTCCCCGGGCCCGTGATAGGCCCGGGGCCTCGTACCTGAACCGAGGTATAGCTGGCGGCGGAGACCGATATCAAAATCTGACCGAGCTGTGTCGGCCCCGGCTGGGCCCGTGCAGCCACATGTGCGTAGACTATAAGGTGTGACAGTGATGGTTGTAAAATGTACATATACACACACCACCCGCATGAATTCACAGTGCCAAACCCGTGAGCTAGCAGTACTGTGAAGTGTGACGGGACCAGACGGGCTGCGGCGAGGAACACAAGCTCGTGCAGCAGCTGGTCTGTTAGACTTCGCGTCGTGTAGAACTAAGCTCATCATGTAGAGTAGTTCATTCTTGTGACGTCGTTCCCCCATCTTTGCTCATGCATGTGTCATGAAGAGATGAACGTGTGTCTTACGAGAGCCGAGTCGTTTTCGACGGGCCGCCTGCAGTGCCACCTACTGGTGGTGTTTGTAACTATTTTGTAAATTGACGTCATGACGTGATGACGTCAGTGACGGCTCGTTTTATACATAATGTACTTGTGCCTTTCTGACGGAGTTGACGGTTGGACTGTGCGGTGCCTTGTGAGACAGGGCAGCCGATGCGGTTCGGTCACAAGGGAGGACGTTCAAAGTGCTGTAAAGGTAATTTATTGGCCACTGTGTTAGCATTGTGCCAGCTGCTTCTATTTCAGCAAGCGAGCTTGTTAGATTAAAGTCCGCTATACAATACAGTTGTTCAAAGAACTTGTGCTGTGCTGTTCTTGTCTTGGTAAGAGCTTTCTGTGATCCAGCCTTACCCACATGACAAAGGTACACCAATAGGAAACTCGGAAACATGCCTTTACATCCAAAAATTTAGAAGTGACCCTTGCCCGAATCTGGGTAGAGCAGTGGTGCTCTGCTTCAAGGCACAAGTGATCAATTTTAATGCGCAGGTGATTGGTCGGAAACTCAGTTGGTTAAAGGCCGCAGCGTGTGTCATAAACCAATGGAACCAGATGCCGAGCAATGACCAAAAATGATGCTAACAAAGAGTACCCAATCATTCTTTTTGTGCATCCCTCTGAACGCGGAAATATGCAGTGACTTTCGACACCTGTTTATTTTCAAACGAACTGTCTTCGTCTCGTCTACCATCTTACATTCTACAAAGTATGCTGAGAACGTCATCAATCCGAGGTCCGTCGCAGACCGCTACCTGCCGATATCTCGAACACGAAATCACGCCAAACACCGCACTGTCGATCGGGATGAACAAATCCAACACGACTATATCGTCTAATAAGGCACTGCGGTAGCACTGTTCGCGGCTCAGCCACGGAAGGGCAAACGTGATTTAAGGATAAACCTAAAACTTTAGTTAGTCCAGTCATCTTCATATTCCATTGATGTCAGAAGTTGAAAAAACTCAACCCAAATCAGATGCTTTTTACATAAATGCACTCAAAACGTAAGGAATGCATTTAGCAGAATAAAAGAAAATATCTCTAATTATCACTCGAAACGCTAGAAATAAACAGAATACAACAATGAAGCAAGAAAAAGGTGCATGAGAACGCATAAAACTCAAAACAAAACGGCGCGGAAGGTTGTGCGTATGATACCTACAGCTGCATCTAAGCAAAGATCGAGTCAAACAACATCGCCCGAATTCGGCACACCGAACATTCGAGACTGACAGTAAAGGATGTCCTCTTCTGACGGTCGGTATAGATAGACACAACCTGGCTCTGAGTATCTTCTCAGATATAGATCTCAAGAAATGACACGCGACTTGAAGTCACGCTTAGATGTCGAGAAATGACACACATCTTGAGATCAGGCTAGGTAACGAGGCACTTACAGTAACTAAAATCACGACAGTAACAACGCTCTAAATGGCCAACAACCATGTGCTGCCATTTCTTGCAATATGCTTCATTTGATAGATGATGAGCTGTGAGACTGAGGACGTTTTATTAAACCACCATCACAATGCTGACTCAGAGTATTATTTCACCTCTGACCATCTTACATGTGTGTGACCTGATGTTGACCTGCCGAGGTCACTGTTCACAATCACCCCAGACGCAGGACGAGTCCATCATATCAGAGGCTTCTGGGACCCCCTGACGAGCGGCATGCTCGATCAGCTTCTGGGCCTCTCTGCGAATAGAAAAACAGTATTCAGAGCTTATCAGGCATCTGGCAAGCAAACTTGGCATTGACAATCATGTAGGATTACTTGTGAGTTGCGAGCGATATGGAGATCTGTGGCACAACATCTGAGTCATGGATCATACCCGATAAAACTGGGTCAACTTTGGAATATAAGTACAATTTAAAGTAGCACCGCTCAATGTTTAACGTGCGACCATCACCACTGAACACATATGCATTCGTTGCCGTTTTAGTTACCCGGGCTGGAGGTCCTCTGTCAGCCCCTGCAGGTGGCCCACGGCCAGGTTATACGAGGAGTGCGGATGGCCCTGGTCGGCCGCCTTCCTGAACCACTTCATGGCCTCCGAGTGGTCCTTCTCGACGCCCCGACCTGTCGTCGGAAGGGAATGGTGTGTCGCTGTCGCACGGTAACTATGTAGATTGTTATAATCGAGTTATGTTTTGCAAACATACAGGTATCGCACTTTACCTTACATACTGGTGTACTATGTAGTGTGAAACAACATTAAAAAATAAAAGTTTCCTACCGATGACTTGATATATATCATGATAAAACCTATGTACCAATACGGAGAGTGCGTATTTGCTCTCCCTCAGCTCACGTTTACCTATGTTTGAGTATCCAAACTGCTACCCTGACCAACACCTAAAAGTCAAAGGTACTATAAACACCACTTCGCTGCCACCCCCTGTGGAGCCCCTGCCCTTGCCACCGGGTCGCCTCGACTGTTGGCCTCACCATGCAGGTAGCGCTGACCGATCAGATGCTGGGCCTCCGTGTGACCTATGTGGGCGTACGCCCGGGTCACATGAAAATGGAAATGATCGAAGTGGTAGTAGCACCAGTAGCCCAGTGAGACGACGAAGGCGAGAGCCACCACCTGAAGAACGAGAGCGGGTGTTAGTGGGTGTTTAGGGTAGATGCCGTATACTTACATAGATATATATGTACATCGATAAGATTACTAGTGTAGTGCATTCATTTATACTTTTCGATTGTGTACGAGTATGTGGTTATAAAATCGTCAAAGAAGTGCACCCACTTGCTGGGTAGGTATCTTATGAAATAAGCGGCGATCAACTATTTAGGATATTAATGAGATCGCCTGTCATATCCTACAACTATATATCCAGAGTCAAACCCCAAAATCCCCTGTCACCACATAGTTATATATCCTGATCTTCCCTCAGTCAATCACAACAGTCTTTGTTTGTTTTGTTGGGTTAGGCCCTTTCGGTCGACAAGACCATTGCAGAGCCGGAAGGATGATAGGAATTAGGGGGAGACATTGGTCTGGGCAGGCACCCTAGTGAGTCGCCGGGGCTGAGCCCGTCCGAAGACAGGCCACCCAGCCCCAAGGCACTCACTCCACCCGGCTACGGGGTGCGCTCCCTCGGGAGCAGCGGTGCCGCTCCAAGGGAGCAGCCCGCATGAGATAAAGTTGCCTGTCCAGCCCGGAGGGGGGTTGCGGCGTGGAGGAGAAGGATTTCTGTTTCCTGAGGATAGAAGCACGGATAGGTGGACAACAGTCAGTCTATTAAACCATATCACCTGCTACTCCTTAGTGTTTGTTTTCCCGTTCCCGGTATGCTATTTTCGTGGTCACGTGTTGTCCTTGGATTGAGTTTTGTGCTATCCGGTACCTTAAGTCCATACTAGAGATGTCAATCGGATACCAACATTTTGGTATACCGATAACCAAACCGATACCAACTTGGTATTTGGTATTTCAATCCTCCTTTATTTGGTATTTTGTCGGTATTATGAACCCTCACTAATATATAAGAAGCTGATAAATTTGTATAAATTTGGTATTTGCCTCATGTTACTAGGTTGGTTCGGTTTCGGTATTTCCTCACGGTTTTGGTTGGTATTTGGTTTGGTACCGGTATTCCGATTTTCTGTAATTGACATCACTAGTCCATACCATGCTGCCTGCTGCAGACTTGAACCAGCCGCTCTAAGCAAGAACACGTTCGATTCGGCGAGTGAGAGGGATGAACGTAAGAGCTCCCCCAAAAGTCTTTCACAAATACTGAACAGTCCGAGCCACGCAGACACACCGCTTCTTTTGATTTCATTGACATGCATGTTTTTCGCATATGTGGCAATTTCAGTCGACCACATAAGGTTTGGTTACATAAAAGGCAGGTAAAAGATCCCATCAAAAAATAAATGTTTACTTCTGCACACATGCAGATCAATTGCTTTGTAAATTTCAACGAATGTACGTACGAGTATGTTGTACGTTTACGTATGCACGTTCGACGAGGTACGTCCCCTATGTTACGTTCAACTAAAGAGACTGCCTGACATGAGGCATAGCCCTTTCCGGATAATTAATGATCCTTATCGAGTTTTCCAGTTGGCCTTAACTTTTAAGGTCACATGACATATCATTTGACGCGTCTTCATGAGAAAATCACAAAGCCAGTGAATCGTTCGCATACCTGCATATGACACCAGTTTTTGCAAACAAAAATGCAACGTTTGAAGGCTTTATGTGATTAAGTGAGACAATGCCACTTATTTCCAGAAATTCCAAAAATCGAGCGTTGGCGCCCACAAGCTAACAAAGCAGTTACACGATTAATATAGGACATTGCCTGCAAGTCATTTGTGACCAGCGCATTACATACACGTGTGAGACCCGACAGTAAAAACAAAATTTTAGGCATAGCTCGGGAACCGCCCACAGACTACTGTCTGGCGTTCCAGGATACTGCTCGCTCGCTGCACCAACTCCAGTAGTTCATATCTCGGAGGCCCGTCGAGCTAGGTCAGGTCCGAGCGCAGACGGGCCGGGATATTTCCTGATCGGGAGGAAAGATGACGACCGAGACCAGGCATGTGCGACGTGGTCATTCCATCTTAACGGCACTGATTGGTGACGTTGTTCGACACAGAATCCAAGAACAAGGAAAATTGGTCAAAAGGATTTTTTAATTATCTAGTCTGCACGATACAATTCTCTCCTAGTTAAAAGCACCATCACTGATACCATCAAATGAACAGACTGAAAGCGCGGTTTCACACATATTCAACTTCCCATACCTCATGCCACAGCCCGGTCAACCTGACCCAGTATTCAGCCAGTCACTGACCTCCAGAAGAATGCAGAGCCAAGTATCGGGCTTCTTTCGTCTGGCCAGGTACACCTTTCCTCCGTAGGGAAGCGACGGGTCCCAGTCCAACGGCTGGTAGTGCGGCCCCCCTACCGACCGACGTCTCTGACGAACGTCAGAGTGTGGCGCCATCAGGTCACCAGGTCACGTTCACGTTCACCAGATTAAAACCACCAGTCAAGATCCCAGCCAGTCTATGGAGCAGCGTCGTGAAAAGAGCCTCTGGTCTAGCTGCTCAGTGCTCCGCCAAAATCACGGCGCAGCAGTGCAGTGTGGTCGGTAGCCGAGACCCGCTCGGTGCGGTCGATAAGCGGCCCCCGTCGCCACAACACGACCGGTGTGGGGCACGTGGCAATACGGGACGGGGCTGCGCGACGCACGGCACCGACGGTAGCCCGGTCCTGACGTACCCCCTCCCCCCCCTCCTCCCTAGGTGGATGACGCAATTAACCCCGGAAGTTCTTGCGGCGCAGTTGACCCTGCTTCTGGAATATGATATTTGGATGACTGGTTTGCAATGAAGGTGGAATTGAGCTCTTAGGCATTGATGTTTTACACATGGCCAACAAGTCCGGATTCTGAAAATATGAAGGAGCTGATAAAAAAACTACGCAACCATGAACCAACGTAAGCAGGCGTCATATCCGAACAAACCATGTTTCGCTACCTAATGCTTTTTGTCGACATATACATATTCAAGCTAGTTATTCGGCCAATGGCAGCGAAACCTAACGTGCACAATTGCTGCTCTATTTTAGCTTGCTTTGGCCCAAAACCTTTGTCTGGCGTGCCATAAATATGATACGGGTCTGCATTGACAAAGCAAAGCATATCAATCAACAATCGTCTGTCTGCTTTTCTTATTTCGCACCACCAAACCTTCCTCAGTGTCGAGTTACGTCCACAAAATAATGCTGCAGAGGTGCTGCACAAAACACCTCTACTATTTTACACAAACTTACACAAACTTTCCTGACAGCGCCTGTGTCGACCTTGCCGACTGGTTGCAACACAGACTGCGGCCTTCGTAATTCGAGACCAAGGTTTGAGGGCACTGGACTCTGCTAGGGGGGAGGGTAGACTGCAGGGAAGGCGCATACATTTGTGGGACAAAAAGGGATATTTTTGCGCCAGCTACGGTGGGTATAAGTGGGTGATCGAAATGAAGTGAAAATAAACCACAATTAATAAGCGGACTGAGAGTCAACGGCTGGAACAGCGTGCACTAGGCTGTATCATATGAGACTAACTCATGCGATTTACGATAAAAAAAACGTTCCACAAGTCGACGTGAAGCAGGAACATCTTTATGCGATACTTAAACGGGCGATGCTAGTTAGTCCCTGATATTCGATCACGCTACCACACGGAGCATCAATGCAAATGTGATCCATTCTTTTACAATAGAAAACTGTCCAGATTTTCATATTCACTGTGATGCAGATCGTGGCAAGGTATCGACTATCCATTGCATACGTAGTGGAACAAATATTTTCAACCTAAATCAGGTCTGGCGTCCAGCTACATAGATTGAACAGCATCGTCATCCGCAGTTGCCAATTGTCAATACCATTGACTGCGAGGCTCTCGTACTCGTTCCATTGAGCGATAGATGTGAAACTGTGACTTGTAGCTGCATGGAATGTATTAACGATTTGTGATTACCCTGAAAGCAAAGATAGAACGGACAATTCTGCCACAATTTAGAGATTAACGTATCAGACCCAACCCACTTTGTCCATCGGAGAAGTATTTTCCTCTTGAGATCCGCCATATATCATTGTTCCAGGCCAGCTGTGACACAGCGCCTTGAGTCCTTGTTCATATTACAGCGGGTGCTGGACATTTCCTGGCCGTGCTATCGATTGGTACGGCCACCAGGTGTAGTTTGCACAGGCAGGACGCAGTGCTAAGATAACGCTTAGATCAGCAGTGCAGACTCGGCGGCCAGAAACCGAGATATGCATTAGGAATGCGCGGTATTTGAGCCGGCTAAATGACAGCACCGCTTCTTCAAACTGCCAACTGAAAAGAGATTACCATCTGAAGAAAATAGGCATCTGGGTAAAATTTCAGTTTGGGGAAAACCTGTTTCTAGCCAAGTGCCTATTTTTGATGCAAGAGCCCTCATGTGTGTAAACTGTAAATACTTGTTGTAACAGATGGATAAAATCTGTCTCGTTGTTTGATTAACAGGCACTTGTTGGCTTCAAGCTGTAACATTTCCAACAGGTCCAAAACTTCTGACACCAATCGTTAACTGGTGTGTGGAATTGGTGGCCGTACGACGCTTATTTATGACATTGCCACCATATTTTGATGGAAACACAGCATGAAAATTTATGAGCTATCACATGTAAATAAGACCTGTAAGCTGTCACGTTGAAAAACTGACATGTAATATACCTACAGCTTTTTGCACATGCTGCAGCAAGCTCATCATCAGCATCTGCACTGCGTCGTGAAACTCAATTTTGCAAAAAAAAACTTTTAGTTTTTTTTTTTTGGGGGGGGGCGACATTTTAAAGTCTAATAATTATGTGCTGTTACAATATGCCTCTTGGACAAGAGCGTGTTTATTCATACACAAACAATAATTGCTCCAAACAATTCGCAAATCACTGCAACCTAACTCTGAAACAATACCCTTCACAGCCAATCGCTTCCTGACCAAGGCTCACAATGCATGCCAATTAAACATACAGCTCGATTATTAAAAACCTGCCAATCACCTATTCGTATACGGCCTTCGAGAAGTAACAATAGCAATGGCTATCGTTTTATCAAGGAAGGCTACTTGGTAAAACTTAAACAGTTGTAATATCCAATCAAATCGCATGAAATTTAGTTTTAATGACTACGGGGTAAATTGGAGGGCAAATGACACAATTTTGTAGGAAGCCCACGTGGTCTGCAGACTGGGACTTTGCTCTATTAACAGACCACACATGACGCTGAAGCTGCAGCTGAAAAATAGTTGCCAGATATCCCTGGTAGATGACAAGGGGCTGAGTGAACTAACAATTACCAGATCGGACAGCTCAGAGTGGACGATTTTCCGTAGAAATCAGCGTTGGTAAACACTGACGGGGCAGTATCTGGCTGTCCTCAGAACCGCGCGATTTTATCGATTTTTGGGTAGTATTGCATGCATTAAGAGCGAAGTAGGACGCCGCCATTTTGTTTTCACAAAAAATAGGACTCCGAAAATGAAGCAGGCTTGACATAGAGCGTTTCTTAGGTCATAAATACTGAGCTTATTCTTTCAATACGCTTTGTTCGGAGGCCGTGTTTAATGTGTAATACTCACAGGATTTCAAACGATTATTTCTAGGAGTTAGTAAACTGAGTTGCAGCCGGTCACAACGCTCTGTGAAATATTTTGACCCATGTAAGCTTATGCAATATGCATAACATGGCATATGCATAAATTACGTTAGTTAGGCCAGCTCCCAGCTTTCTCTTTCAGTCTCCTTCCAAAACAATGGCCCATGACATCACCATTTTTGCACCAAATACGCATGAGCCATTTGTATGCCTTTGTGTTGTGGCGCGTACAAGTCACAGTGCAGAGCTACAAGCCCTCTAGGTGCAGACACCACCATGTAGCTCCCACCAACAGGCCGTGGCCGTGAGAAATCGATTTACAGACCTCCGCTGAAGGCGATATATAAACAGAGACCGCTTCAGATACAGTAATTGTTCAGCAGGGCTTCGTCCAGAGAGTGGCGGAGCTCCAAACTATTGGAAAAACCCGGCTAGCGCTGGTATATTTGGCAAATAAACCTCGCAACCAGCATGCGTTTCACATTTTCGGTAAGTCTTTCGTAGTCCTAAGTTTAAAATGTTTTAACTAATTAAATAAGTCAATTTTTCGAGATAAATCATAAGATTAATTGTTAAGTCACCAATTCAGGTGTATTCAAGTGCGGCTCTTGGTTATAAACTGCTGTCAACGATCTTTTACTAACCGATAACCAGTGGTTATCAACTGCAGTCAACAGCTCTTCATGCATTAACAGATGACCAATGGTAAACAACTGCTGTTAACAACACTTAATTAGACGTTAATTAATAGTTATCAGTTGACCAAGGATCGTCCTCGAATACAGCCGAATTAGTAACTTTGTTACTTATCTTTGGATCTATTTGAGGATGAGGTCAATTAAAATATGGTGATATCCAGAAAGATAATTGCAAAAGAGAGAATATTGAACTTTTAAAGTCAATAAAAGTATATGCAAGCACCAACATTTATGTCCATAGACAATTTAAACCTATGTCAGCATTGGATAGAGTAATAGCTGTTTTGCATAAATCGTCATATTATCACAATGCACAACAATGCATCCTTGTGGACGGTTTCTGTGAATGCCCAGCTCACGCTGTCCTCCGTTTTCAGCTACTGCTGACAGTGCTGATGCTGGCTGCCGCCGTTTTCGCTGACGGGTTTTTCGACGATGACGGCCCATTCGGTGACGATGGCTTCTTCGATGACGACTTCTTTGGCGACGACGACGGGCTGAGATTCCGACGATTCGGTCTGTTCAGACCGAGATTCTTCGGTTTCGGTCGTCCTTACATTTTCGGAGCTCGACCGTTCTTCGGCCACTGCGGCTTCTTCTGCTGAATGAGGGAGTACCGAGAGCAAGAACTTTGAAACACGAATGAGAGACGGATGCCCAAGCCGACGAGAGAGCTACTTGCATGTGTTGATCGTGCCGCCGTTTACAACATATGTACAGTGCAAATGGACGCGATATTTGCAAACCAGCTGAATGCATCATGCATGTTTTAGCAATGGTAACATTTGTCAGTTAGTTGGGCTCGAAAACACTGTTTCGTTACGTCAATGTCATTGCCTGCGCAGGTAAGACTGTGGTGCTGACGGTTTCATGCAATAAAAGGCTAAATGTAAACTATCTCGGATGAATAAATGTCGTTCACAACTGAAAAATTATTTTCAAATTACGGTATTCCGATATCACGACGAGATAAATAGCGTCCACCCGGCGAGTAAACGGGTCAATGACACCCCACCACACAACCATTACATAATCCCACTGCCGTAGCCGAACATACAACACCTAACAGCTCACACTGCAGACTCTCACACGGAAGTACGTACGTACACCTTCTCACCCACACCATGCGTGTTTCCGCTTCCCTAGTATCACCGGCAGCTGGTCCGGTTCACGCCAGGCCAATGTCCGCTGCACGAGCGCCAGAGCTCCCGGCTAGCTGGGCGTGGCCCCAGCACCCCATGTCCACTGCAGACGCCGGCTAATCCGCCGGGCAGACGGTGGAATTTGTCCGCATTTCGGCGCGGGGCGGGGATTTTTGCCCGTCTGTCACGCAGTGCTCGGGTGTGGTATAAAGCCTGGCGGAGATGTGGAGCAGTCAGACCCTGAGGGCGCCCTCGGAGACCAGTGCAGCCCTCTCGACCCGCCCGCCGCCGCCGGGCCCGCAGCCATGAAGGCCGTCTTTGCAGTAAGTCCTGGACCCTGGTTCACTGAAAACTACTTAATATGAGCACTTCAAATAATCACAAATTGCGTCGTGCCATTCTTCTAATAAAAAATAAGGCCTGCGAGCTGTATAAGTATATCAAATGTTTGCGGACAAAATACAGCTTGAGGCTGTCCTGGTTTAGCTAACTTTTGACATTATTAAGGAGGAGGAATTTGAGTAGATAACGACACAAACTAACTTTTAAATGTAGCCAAGCTCATCTGATGCTGTGCAGCTGTTGAAAGTAAACAAAAATTTGCTTGGAATAAAAAACTGCTCACGCCTCACAAAACCATACCTACATTTCAACTGTATATGTTTTTCGTCTTCTAATGGTGCCATAATGGTAAAAGAGAGATCGTAAAAGTCTAATGGGATTATGTTTTCATGAGATGACTTTTGTTCTGCTTTACTTTTATCAATTTCTGGCTGTTCCATGGTTCAACTAACTGGAAAATGCGCAAATACAGTGTTTCAGGCTAATTAAAATCATGTGAGTTTAAATTGATCGGCTTAAAATATAAGCTTTGGATTTGATTTCGTAAACCATTGTGAAAAAAAAAATTGAAGAGACGATAACTATAAATGATAACTGACCCCTCATCCAAGCTGGCCAATACCCGTTGGAATGGCTCGATTTCGAAGGGAACTGACACCGTGTCGTCTGTTCTATTGCAGCTGCTCCTGCTGGCGGTGCTGGTCGCCCAGGGCTCTGCCCAGTTCGGATTCGACGACGACCTCTTCGGTGACGATTTATTCGATGATGATTTATTCGATGATGACCTCTTCGATGATGACCTCTTCGATGATGACCTCTTCGACGATGACATCTTCGATGATGATTTATTCGATGATGATTTATTCGATGATGGTTTATTCGATGACGACAATTTCGGCTTTGACGGCTGGCTGAGCCTGCTGAGAGGTCGCGGTCGCTTTGGAGGAAGGTACTTCTTCTCCCACTACTACCGGATGCTGCGGCTGCTCAAATACTACCGCCTCTTCGGATACTTCGGTAGGCCCTACTACGGCCGTGGATTCGGCATCGGGGGCCGGCTCGGAGGACTTTTGGGAGGAATCGGAGGACGGTTCGGAGGACGGTTCGGAAGCAAGTTCGGCGGAATCAGAGGAATTGGCGGGCTCGGCGGAGTTGGCGGGCTCCGCGGAATTGGCGGGCTCCGCGGAGTTGGCGGGCTCGGGGGAGTTGGCGGGCTCGGGGGAGTTGGCGGACTCGGTGCGATTAGCGGGTACGGAGGTCAGTTCGGAGGTCACCGAGGTATTGGTCTCAGCGGTCTCCTGAGCGGAGGAAAGCTCGGAGGAGTCGGCGCTCTGGGCGGCGGCGGCGCCCTGGGCGGTGCCGGGTTCGTGGGAGGTCAGAGCTTCACCTCGTCAGGATTCAACAGCTACTACCGTCCGTACGGGTACAACTATAGGTACCCCCACTACTACCGGCAGCCCTATTACAACCAGTACCGGCAGCCGTATTACAGCCACTACAACTACTACCGGCCCAACTATGGGTACAGCCACTACTATAACCCATACAACCAGTACTACTACGGAGGTCTCGGCCAGGCCAGATCTGGGGTCTCGGCTGGAACTTCTAGCTATGGAAAGTAGGCACCGCTAACTGTCGCTAATATTGAGATCAGGGCGGTTTGTGTCACTGCAGCTATATGAACTGAAATCGCTCACACAGTTTCATTTATTACGGGCTAATAATTCGTGTTCTTTGGGCAGTAAATTGGAGCTGGGCTTTGCGTTTGAAAAAGCCACGAGATGTGTACTTTGTACTGGCTCCACTTCCAGAGCAAGGCATAATGTTTCAGGAAATACAGAAGTGTCTTGATGAATAATTAAAACTTGGTGAATAGGCTCAGTATCACGCTTGTGGCAATACAAATCTGCGCTTGGATTGCTGTAAGGTCAGGTAAAGGTTTTCACAATTGGCCTCTATCCAACTTCTTATTTGTGTGTTCTGTGTATGTAACCTATCTTTAATTATGTCTGTGATCTTGGCATGACAATATACATTGCATGACATATTGTTTGACCTTTTCCTGTCCAATATCAATATTAATGAGGTTAACTGCATAGCACTGGCAGATACAGGGGGCAGAATGGAGCATTCTCGGTTTTTCACAAGAAACACGTAAAATGCGGCAACTATTTCAGTGCCTCGTTTTGATCAATTGTACTCCCACTTATAAAATATCATGGCCCTGAACCAAAGACCTTTCACCTGTGACCTCTTGCTCCGAGTTATATCAGGTCAGAAAGATCATTCGACATATGTCGGCCAGAGGCGGCGGAAGGTAATTAGGAATGGGGGGGGGGGGGGGCGGGGGCGGTGCCTTCCAGTCCAGTTCAAATACGTGTTGCACCATATAATGTGGCTGCCACCGTGGCTGTTGTTGTTCGCGTTGAACAAATTGTTTCCTTTGCACCAATGACGTCATTAAAGTTAGCCAAAGCCAATTATTGCAAACCTTTTTGGTTGGTAACACTCGCACTGCAAAATGCTAGCCAATAGGTAAGCAAAATAGTTATGTACGATGACATTGACAACATCAATCCAAATTACTCGCTCTATCAACTTAATAAAAAGGTACTCAGTCAAACCGGCATTTATTCATGACATAGTATGGAAGTATTGTGGTATTTCATCGATAACAATTTTGCGGGGGCAAAAAGATATGTGCGTTTTCAAGTTTTTATTTGTGTTATTGGAAACGTGCCAACAAGTGAGAAGAGGCGCATCCCATGGATTATGGTGGTTGACAAAGTCGCTTGAACAGCAGGTTAAGTTCATTGGTTTCTGATGACCTCGAATGACTTTAATTTTACCTTCGGTACCTATTTGTTGGAACTAATTTGGAATTTAGCCCTTGCCGGACCCATTGCTTTCCTGCCGAAGGAGAGGGTTGGTACGACCCCCCTCGCCGTTTCGCTCCTAATTGTGCTAAAGCCTCGCGAGAAAGAAACGAGCGTGTGCGCCGTTACGAGACGCATCGATAATGGTACCCAATTTCAAGGTCTCAGATAAAATCAGGCAAATAAAACCTCTGAGGTCAGTTCAAGGGGCCCAAGGCACAGGCCCGGTTTTTGGTAAATAACATTACCCCCCCCCCCGCCCCAAAAAAAAAGATCGTAGAGCCGCGATTTTGGCAGCATTTTGTTATCGTGTTTGTCTAGCTTAGGCACATCGAATGGTGTACTTTTTGTTCGGGTGAGTTCACCTTAAAGGTAGTGTGCCACCTTTGAAAGATTTCCCATTTTATTTTTCCTAGGATAAGAAGCTTCTGTTTTTACCTAATATCGCAAAAAAATCAAAAATGGGCCTGGAATAGTGCCTTTTTCGCCTAAAAGTTTATCGGTTTTTCGATATGTATAACAACTGTAGCGGACTGACCTGCAAACAGGCGTCGGCAACAATCGCGAATGCGGCGCACATGTGACAATAAGCAAAGGTCATTATAGAGTTACGACGTACGGGAATGAGTTATCAGCTGTCTAATCGTAGACAACACAATGTCGAGCCTTAAACTGTAAGCCTGAATTGGTATTGTTTCTTTTATTTGGCTGTCGAACATTATTTATGGTTTGGAAATATGATTTTATGTAAAATAATTGATATGAAAAAGCCGTCTCTTAAGTTATGACCCCATTTCACCACACGCAAGTGGCAGAAATGACAATGATCAGCTGACGCATTTTTCTTGGCCGAAGTCAGAGCGCGCGGCCCGACGCACCACCACCGCACCACAAAGTATGAGCAGAAGCCGCGCCCAAAGCCAGGGCCCCGGTAACGTGAGGTAGCCGAGTCGGGGCAGCGTGCGCTGACCCAAGACGGGGCCGCAGCTTTGGGCGCGGTCTACCGCATCCCCGCGGGCAGCCCCGGGCTATCACATGACACCGGGAGGACGCGCGGCCCCGGCTTGGGTCAGCGCACGCTGCTCCGACTCGGCTACCTCACGTTACCGGGGCCCTGGCTTTGGGCGCGGTCTACCGCACCACCTGACAGGCGTGTTCGAAACCGCAGGAGATGATGATGAACGGGTTTATCGAAACTTGATTGGATGAGCATATCGGTACTTAGCGATTTCAGTGTGTGCATTTATTGTTCATAGTGGTGTGAAATGTGGTTGGGGTACGACCGACAACCCGTCGGGGCGAATTTCGCACTGGGGTACTCAAAATTTGAAGAATTTAAGACGTTTCCATGAGTTTTGAAGGTATGGATAAGATCTAAAAATCCGGTTCTCCTTATCTGGGCCATTAACTCCATACGGTCCAGGAAAGCTTGCACACTACCTTTAAGGTGTTGACTGTTGATCTCGGGTCAAGGTCAGGTCAGTGCTACCCACTCCAGGTCACGAAGTTGGTCGAAGGAGGCCATATCGCATATCATTCGCTACTGCAGGTCTTTCCGAGTCCATTGTAGCTTTTCGATTGGCTAGCTCAATTTGATTGGGAGTTCTTGACGAAGAACTCATATGACCTTAGTGATGTCATAAGTGACGCCAAGTAAGGTCAACAATGCAAAAGTGAAGCACCGGACCTTGCAAGGAATGTACAGGGTGTCTCAAAAGTTCGTATACACATTTCCCATGCCCATAAAGCATATAAGAACCGGCCAAAAATGTAAGGTTTTTGTGTCTGTGTGCACACTAGACAAATATGCATGCTTTGACAACTGATTCGGGAGGTTGGAAATCAAACCCTTTGCTGTATCTCCAAAAATATTTACCAATACCGATTTTCGTCGCTCCGTCAGCTGCCGGAGGCTGATAAAAGGTTACCAGCTTTCAAGCTCTTGTAAGGGAATCCCCTGCAGTTTCTGCGTCGGAATTAGGTTTGACGAGCTCCCCGGCAACATCCGCTTCTCCCTGAAAGCCGACAGCGTGCATCGACACCATCCGTGAGTATTTTGTAGGTCTTCTCTGGCGCTAACTCCTTCATGAATGACTGGCGCCGACCTCCCAAGCACCATTTTCCTTTTCAAAACAACCCCATTCCTGAACAAATGGGAAGTGCCAGGGGAAAATTTTTCGCAGCATGTCGTAGAAGAATGTGTCGGCCATCTGTTTCTTAGACACATTGTGCAAATTTTGCAAATCCCAAACGCTCGTCATTCCCCATGCATTCCGAGACCTTCGCTGGGTTGCGTAGTGTTTTCCTCAGGAGAGGTTCTGCTTTGTAAACGTTAAAAACCTGTCCATCGTGTGGTTTTGTCGGGATTTTGTGTCTAAAAGAAAGCTATTCGCTCCAGATCTGCCTCTTGAAACTTCGTAAGATAAAACTTAACATTAATTGACACTTTTGGAGGGTCAGTTGTCCTTGGTATTGATGATTTTCGTGGTATTTTCCCCAAAAATTTAGCGTTCTAGATATTATAAACAATTTCAAATGATACTTTGTCTTTGTTTTACGATGACCTGCAATTTTTGAAACTGGGTAACCTCTGTCTGTGAGCTTCTTGTCAGTTTTCAATAGTTATGCCTTCATTTTCAGCTGCTTTCCGGAGCACGAGTCTGCTGCCGTACGAGGGTCGTTCAAAACGCTGTTAGTCTCGCATGGTTTTGTCCTTCAAAAATTTTAGCCACCGTTTTTATTGGATGATCATCATGTTGTACTCATCCTCGCCGACACTTTGCCATGTGTCATTTCCGACTTAACCATTCCCATTACTCCTGAAACAGAGAGTTTCTCAGCCGACCCGATTTTGCGACCTCCATTTTCATGCTTGACCCATGGTCAGAGATGAACCCTTTTTGTGGGCTCAGGAAGGGTCGAATGCGTTTGAAAACAATGAGACTGCTTGAGGAAGGTTGTTACCAATGCCCATGCAAAATTTCGACTGTTTATTTATTGTTGATTCAGAATTATTGACAAAAAAGCATGGCTGGTACCTGTCAACGAACTTTTGAGACACCCTGTATGAAGCCACGATTCCGCGTGCTTGGTTTAGTTTTAGATCATTCCCGGTGCCAAAATAACAGTTTCTTTTTTCCTCCCATTGACTGAGGTATAATGGTGAAGTCAAGTGACCGACCTGACCTCAGGTGACCCTTAGTAAACATCCGAGATATACAAGTTGTGAGACCTCTCGAGGATACTAGCTCCTGTAGGTTTCATCCCTGTGAAGCTCCTCTGGCACTGATGGCGTTGCGATGATGCGGCATTTTAGGACCATGCAAAGGCTCACTTGTGAGTTTTGACGTTGATGTGACGTTCACTTGCCACTTGTGACGTCAATTATATCATTTTTCACTCGACTTTGACCCAGAATCACCTGCAACGAAACCTTCCATGCTAAAATCGTCTGCTCACCACCGGCCCCCCGATAGCAGAGAGTTGCGATACACTCATGTAGATGTCAGCACGGTCGACCCGTCCAATCACAATAACGGCAGGTGGCGCCACCTCCCCACGCTGTCTTGGGTTTGGGGGCCAGTGTCTCAGTCCGAGTCTACGTCGGTCTCAGCGGCTGAGGAGCGGAGTCTGAGAGCGAGTCGGTGTATTGGAGTTACAGGCTAGGGTCACATGACAGCCTAGCCCGCATCCGGTATTTTACAGCGGTAGCGGAGGGAAGGTCGATTTGGTCAGAGCCCCTGCCGCTCGGCCCCTGATCGGACTAAAGCTTGGCCGAAAATAAAAGAACAGCGACCAGCGTATATATTGCTCGTGACGAGAGGCAGCCGTGTCCGAAAGGTCTTAGGTCATTTGCTGACCTTCCAGAAAAGGTCAGTGAAAAGAATCTTAACCCGCGCCCCACTGGGGTCTGCGTATAACACGCCCTACTGGGGGGGGGGGGGCTATTCATAGCCCCCCCTCCTAACTCCGAAACTACTGGGCCGATCGTCAAAATTCAAACGGCGTCTGATAGCCCCGGAAAAACTGTCGAGCGAAACCTAATTTCATTGACCTCGAGGTCACCGATGACGTCACAGGTCAGGTCAAAGTAAAAATTATTAGCATTTTGGCTTGATCACGTTTTGGGCTCTGGCCGCCGTCTTACAAGTCAGACCAGGCTCATTTTTG